AATGGGTGAAACATGTATGATTAAAAAAAAAAAAAAAAAAAAAAGAAACTGCAGAAGCCTGGAAAATAAGTTTTAGCTACAAAGAAACACAGAGATCCAATTTATCTGCCAGCATAGCTTTATATATAACTGAAAATAAAATGTTTGGCTGGTTCTCCTTCATGACATTTGCTAACAACAGCTCTGCTACACAAAATGCTGTTTAATTAAGAAAGGAGTAAAGTATACAGAAACGTGATGAACACAAAGATGTCACTATGCCCAAGCAGCAGGACTTGATGCCAAATTGCTCCCATATTTTACAGCTTCTTTATGTAGGAGGGAAGCAGAGCTGAAAGGGGTCAATTATTTGTATTAATCCAGCTGAGCATTAAGACAGTGGCAGAAAATAAATACTTCTAGAAAGGGGTGCTCAGCCTTTTCCTCAAGATTAAACAAGAAAAATCTGTCAGAGAGGAATTGCAATCTTTTCAGAATATCCCTTCAGAAGGGATGAAATATCAGCATTACTCAATAAAAGAATATAGGCAGAACTTCATGAACCCTGAAGGGTATCCAGGGGCTAATCAGACAGATAATGCTCATCACAGAAATGGTGCCTTCTCAGGATAATTGGGTTATTGGGCAAAAAAATAACTGTAGAACTAAATTGTTGCAAAATAAAATGTAAGACTTCTGAAAGCAGATAATACCACATTGAGATGACACCTGAAATCTTAAATCCACTGCCTTTTTGATTCCTTTGAGGTTTTACGAGTTCTTATCCTGCAGAAAGGATAAAATTATTGTCCTTCATTGTTCAGCTACATGGAAAGAAAAACCCAAAAACCAGCAAATAAAACACACCCACACTACATAAAAAGCCAAGATTAATTAGTGAGAATTCTGTTTCCAACACCAGCCTTTCTGTACAGAGTACTGGGTCTCTGGAGATTACAACAAAAAGGAAAACCATAAAGCCAATTCCCCAATCTCAGCATGCTGGGTATCCAATCTCTCCCCCCACAAGTACAATAGGCCTATTTTTAGGAAGTGTACTATCATATCATGTGGCCATCCTAAACTGCCCTAGAAAGTTGGCTGCTCTGCTACAGTTAAAAATTACCTCTCCTCCACAAGCTGACAGCACACTCCCCTAAATTCCTGGCTCTCCATCTGCATTTCCTAACACACAGGACAGGATCACAACTGGTTTAAAGCTCAGTTTTTGACAAATGATGTGAAAAGCAATGAATCACGCTCAGCAGGACTGCTAAAATCACATGTACATGTACACAGCACACACATCCCTCACACAGCCAAAGAAAGCTTCTGTTTCCCTGATAAAGATGAGAGAAAGATGTCAAACAAGACTTTTAGGCAATAGTGATTAAAATATTTGGCAAAGTCCCACGGAGACATTTCCATCCTCACTGTAACTTTGTGTCCTGTCATTCTCCTCCCGAACAGTTGAGCTGCGTTTTTTCCACACCTTACAGCAAGACAGCTGAATGTCATTTTATAAGTCTACACCTGACAAGCACGTAAAATAACATTTTCAGGGACAGCAACGGAGTCCTTCATCTTCCCACATCCCTGACTGCTGGAGCAGAAAGCACAGAAAGGCATTTGTGTGTTTGCCTGGCTGCAGAGTTAACTCCATGTACAGTAACCATGAGATGTCTGTGTTGTATTAATGTGTTCATTTACTGACTATGTTTAGAGTTCTTTTAATGTTTAGAACAATCTATAAATCATGAAAGAGAGAGCACTTGAGACAATGTATACTGCTGATCTAAAGACCATAAAAAATAATGGAGCAAGACCAGTTAAGCAAATTATTTTGATGTAACCCACACATGCTGTGGCAAGTTGAGATTCACTTTTCAGCTTCCACAACTGGTTTGTATTTTACAAGCTTTTACCAGACAAAGCTGGAGGAATCTCGGAGCAATTATTCCAGATTTAACTGCCAGTCTTTGGGGCAACTTTTACTTGCTTCAGAAGCCTCAAATCCTAAGTTACACTCCTCACAGGAGAGAAAGTTCTCTCACCAGTCCTCACATACATCCCAAAAGAACCAGGTACCACCACTGAAAATAACCCATAAAAGAATTATTCAAATCAGCTTACAGACATTATGTCTGATAAACTCCTATTCTGCCTCCCTCCCTACTCAGTTTGTGACATCAGAGAGTTGAAACAGCTGGTCTGAAGATAAATATTTGCAAGTCATAGTTCCAGCTGTGGGGGGTATAAAAATTACACAATTCAGCTGTCACCATGAAGGAGTACTCAAATTTTTAATTCAAAAAAATATCTGAGTTTCACTTTCATTCTCTCCTTTGGCACAGAGTTGTAAAAAGCTGAGGAGGTGTAACTATGCAGGTGTATCATCTGCATGCCACTGTTTGCTTTACTCATTTGTATATAGACATACCCCAATTTGAATTAACATTTGCATCTGTACAATAAATAAAGACATAAATTATTTCACAGAATACTGCAAGAATTCCGGCCTTTGCAATTCAGATATTGGTAACAAATGTAAGCAGCCATCATGCCATTATGAAGATTCTGAGCATTTTCTTTTTAATTATAGTCTTTTTCAGGAGGGCAAAAAGGGAGCAAATCAATTTGGAGATGAGTCCCTGACTATCAAGAGACAGTAGAAATTGGATTCTATTGTCATGAACACCACAGGGCTGGAAGTGTTTTATCTACATCTGAACCTATGCTGCTGTGTTTCACAGAACGATGGAATGCTTTGGCTGGGAAGGGATTTTAAAGCCCATCCAGTGCCACGCCCTGCCATGGGTAAGGACAACTTCCACTGTCCCAGGCTGCTCCTGGCCTTGGACATTTCCAAGGACCCAGAGGCAGCCACAGCTTCTCTGCACAGCCCATGCCAGCATCTCCCCACCCTCACAGCGAATAATTCCGTGCCAATATCCCATCTAACCCTGCCCTCTGGCCATTTGAAGCCATTCCCCCTTGTTCTGGCACTCCAGGCCCTTACAAATACTCCCTCTCCATCTTTTTGTCTGCTCCCTTCAGCTACTGGAAGGCCACAATTGGATTGCCCCGGGCCTTCCCATTTCCAGGCTGAACAATCCCGACTGTCTCAGCCTTTTATCCCTAGAAGTACTTCGTCATGTCAAACCGAGCAGCAGCACATCTCTCACATTAACTACACCAGCTTATTTTTTACACCAAGCCCACTGTTTCCTTCCCTGCCCACACCAAATACACTCAGAGCCTCCCCGTATCTAAAATGCCACGAAGAAAATCTTGGTACTAACAGGCATCAGACGAGCTGCAAACACAATGAATTCAGACTTCAAAGTGTAGGTGGAAAACCACAAATTGGAGCCTGCTGACCTTTCTGTGATTCATAAAGCAGCACAGCAGTGGTTTCCAACAGGCCGAATTCACTGCCCTGGAGCCTCAAGTGGTTACAGCAATTGCCATTTACAGAGTGAGTAACAGGGTGATTCTGAGGCACACTTTGAATGAATTTCTGTGCCTATTTAGCCTGTTTAGTCAAAGTTCATCTTTCTCATAGTAGGGACTCCTAAGGTTATTTCATCTCGATGGGAAAAGTTCCACCAGAGGTACAGGCAACAGGTACCACTGAAACCAGTATGAGTTGGCAGGTGGCTGGGGAGTGGGAAGGGAAGCAGTGTTGAACTGGTTCCCAACAGGTTCAAACTGTCACATAACACAAACATGTGAGTCATTTTGCAACCACCACTGTAATTCTATCTAAGACTGCCTCTTGGGAAACAGAAAGACGCTTACATTCCAATACAGTCGTATCTAACAGGCTTTGACCTGTTATTAAATTCTCAATTGATATTATTAAAAAAAAAATCAACTTATGTAAGAAGAGAAGTTTTAAGTGAGTGTTTCAAAACGGTTCAAAACACACGTACTTTGTTTCTGGCACGCTGGACACACTTCGTGAGGGCACACACAGCATTTAGCAACAAACATGATAAACATCCACAGAATTTACTGATTGAAGCTACAGGACTCGCTGTCATATGATGCCATACCCAGCGCCAGAGCGTCCCGAATAAAATAGGGTCAAGCGTACTTCGTAAAACTCACGAGAAGAAACCTATGTAGTACTCGGTGCTATCTATGAAAACACCGAGGGTTTATCTGTATAAAAACCACCTTGCCAGCACACACAGCACGGCCAACATCAGCACAAACTACCCCATGCCAGAGTACAGCCAAGATATCAAGGGCACCGGCGGTGTTTACACAGTATCAAGGCAGAATTTAATCCTGCCAGCACTGACCCAACAAACCGCCTGTCTTGAGAAAGACTTCGTGCCCCTATAGCAGAAGTTACACGGAGATTGTACCAACCGCAACTTGCTTAAGAAGGGGAGAGGTGAAACAGGTGGCCAGGCAGGCATTAAAAAATATACACGTATTAAAAATAAAAGCACGAGTTAAATGCACAAGCGCTTAACTCGTAGAATTCGGAAGTTTCAGAGGCGGCGGGCGAGCTCTTGCGGCCGGAGCCACCTTTGTCCCCGTTTCCGATGTGGAAGCGCCGGCCTTGTGTAAGGCAGGGACGGGACAGCGGCCGGGAGCCCCGGCCGGGCCGGGCGCCAGCGGTTCCGTTATGCGGGAGGCGCTCCCGGCGGGCACGGCTCGGCTCGGCAGGGCACGGCAAGGGACTGACGCGCCGCTCGCAGCCCCAGGCCCCGTTCCCCGTCCCGCCCCGGCACTCACGTCGAGAGCTTCCTGGTCCAGAAGAGCCCGCCGGGCCAGAGCTCCTGCAGCTGCACGGCGCGGGCCAGGTTGCCCTTGATGTGCTCCAGGAAGCGGGTGGCCTCTGCCTCCAGGCGCTCGCCATAGGGCAGCAGCTTGTTGTAGACGATCTCCTTCTGCGGCGGCCGGGCCATGTCGGCGCTGCCCGGGGAGGGCCGGTGACCGCGGCCGCCGCGCCCCGCCCGCCCCGCTCGGCTCCGCGCCGCTCACTTCCGGCGGAAGGCGGGCCCGGGGCGGCTCCGGGAGCTCCCCGGGCACCGGGCCGGGCCGGGGCTCTGCCCCTGCGGCTCCCCTCGGGCACCGCCGTGGGGAGGGGGTGGAGAGGCCGCGGTGCCCGCCCGAGCTCGGGGTGCGCGCTCTGCGGCTTTGCGCTTTGTTAAAAAGCCCTTCTCCTAAAGCTGCCGCCACCTGGACGCGTAATTGGGAGTGAAAACATTCACCCGCCGGCTGCTCTCATCGGGAGGGAATCGAGCATTGTTCTCGCTCGGAAACACTCGGTGTGCGGTGGGGATGGGGCGGGCGCCGGGGATTACGGGGTAGTCCCCAGCCCTGGAGAGCTGCGGGGACACGGCGGACGCTCAGTGCCGTGGTGTGGCTGACACGGAGGGGTCGGGCCACAGGCTGCGGTCCGTGGTCATCTCCGAGCTCTTTGCCAGCCTCATTGATTCGGTGGTGCTGTAATTAGCCGCGGAGTTTGAGAGCAGATTGCGCGGCTGCCTAAGAGGCTTATTTGAAATAATAAGGCTAGTCAGGAGCGCAGAGCTCGCCCGCGGGCCGTGGGTGTGGGATAAACTGCTGAGGGATACGTGATAACAGCACTGATAGCTGTTATCTCCAGCTGTCCTAATATAATTGAATTTCCCCTCAAGAGTTACATCGTGGCCGTACAACAGCTGCAAACTGATTAGATTTAGAGCTACTGACAAGGGCAAACCCTGTTTTCTGATCTCTATGCTCAAACTAACTCTGCTTAAAATTTAAAAAAAAAATAAAAAATAAAAAAATGGTTAACTGAATTGTGGAATACTATAGGGAGAGGAGAAACGCCACAGAAAACCTAAGTATGATAAACAGAGGTATCATGGCATCTTCCACTTTCATCATCTACTTTCTTCACCCTCCTAGACCTGTGTTTTTAATAAGGAAACACCAGGATGCTGTTTAGTGTCCCACCCTTCTGAAATACCTTTCCATTCCTAGAAGATTTTGTATCATATAATCTCGTGGATCACATCTATCAACTTTTACATGATTACAAAATAGCTGGACTTGACAAACTGTTACCATCTTTCACGGGGACTTTACGGTTGTGATGCCTCATATCTGCATGAGGCAAAACAATTCATAGATGAATCTCTGCCCTTTCTGGCTTCAATTAAAAATGAAACTTGATCATGGCCAGCTTTCTGTGGGGATAAAGTACATCTTGGGTTAGCGTTTTTCTGGTGAAAACAGAAATAAACAATACGAAATGAATAGTTTTATCAGCAATTCAGGCAAGGATAGATTGGCCCAAAAGCTGTAATATAAAAACAATACCTGTGGTTAGTAAAAAGGGTAAGTGAAAATTCATGTGCATTGGAACTGAAAAGTCTAAAATTACTTATTTTCTGTCACTTAGAGGCAATTCTTGATAATCACAATGGTGATTTGTTCAGACATTTCCAGTGTGGGAAAGTGTTTGTCAAATTTGAAGCATGATGAATTTGTTTGGACTTGGGGGGGAAAAAAATCAAAATTCTAGCCCAATTTTTTGAAACTGAAGTTGGCAGATACATCAGGAGCTTCACAGCTGCATTCTGTTGCTTTGTAGCCATGTTGTAAATAATTATTCCTGTCCTTTCTAACCCAAGTTAAAACTAAGACTTGATTTTTCAGGCATTTTGGAGTATTTGGCATGTGAATGAACACCTCTGACCTCTGTTCTATCTGAGCCAACAAGCTGCCTTCTCAGCTGTGGCCTCAGACACACGAACGCCTCCCACCAGGATTAAACACTCACCTTTTGGGGGAAAACATGCCAAGTTATGCCATCACCACCTCTGACAGCCATCCTACTAACTCGTCTGATCTCCTCCATTCCTGTTTTCAGAGTCTGAAACAAGGGGAGAGGAGATTCCCACTCCATTCATAATTACAGTAGTAAGCACACCTGTAGTACTTGCCTTTTGAACGTATTTTCTGCATGTTGATTCATTTACTAATTAAATTTAGTAATTTTTAAAAAGCCCTAATCCTTTCCCCTCCCTGCTATGCCACCATTCTGCTCTTTAAAAAGAGGAAAGAAAAAAGCTACACTTTGCCAAGTGAGTCAAAAATAAATGTGTTGTTCAAGTTTGCAATATGTTTTGGCTGCAGCAGTGCGTGAGAGCACATTTGGTTCCCGAGTCAGATGATGAAGGACGAGGCTTTCATAACACAGGACCTGTCTGTGCCACTTCACATCAACAGCTTCTTCCTCTCTTATTAAGTAGGAGGAATACGAATTGCCAGCAGCCCAAATATGGCAGCCACCTGTGGATTTTGGCATTGCCTCCTGAGAACTGATGAAGCTGAGTGCTGTAGTTGTGAGAAAAACACAATCTTCCCATTCATGAGAAACTTTGAGTGCTGACAGTGGCGTGGGTCAGGCTGGGGGTTGTTGGCGTGTTCCCTCGTGGGGCGATGCCTGAGGGCAGCCAGCACCAGCACTGGCACAGGGATTTGGGAATCTTGAGTTGTCACTGAACCTCGCTTCCTGCTGCCTCGGCTCTCCAGTGACTACTTAGCACAGATGTTTTCCTTAGTGACCCATCTGTCCTTTTCCACCCAAGTTAAAAGTTGGATAATTTCTGAGTGACAGATTTCTATTTTCTAGTACCTGAGGCCCTTCCAGTAGTTGAAGGGAGCCTACAAGAAAAATGGAGAGGGACATTTCACAAGGACCTGGAGTGACAGGACAAAGGGGATGGCTTCAAACTGAAAGAGATTTAGATTAGATATACACAAGGAATTCTCTGTGAGGATGGGGAGGCCCTGGCATAGGGAAGCTGTGGCTGCTCCATCCCTGGAAGTGTCCAAGGCCAGGCTGGACAGGGCTTGGAGCAGCCTGGGATGCTGGAAGATGTCTCTACCCATGGCAGGGAACTGGATGAGCTTTAAGCTCCTTTCCAACCTAAACCATTCTATGATTTTACAGTTTGGAAAAGACTAGCCAATCCAACAGGAGCTTCACATTACCTGTACCTGTCCTAGTCTGTGACCCCCATATCTCACAAAGCCCCACTCCTGGAATAAAGAGGAGTAGGTGCTTTTTGATGAGGATCCTCAGACTCTCCCTCAGCCCCATGTTTCTAAACTGGTCAGTCATCCAAAGCAGGCACTGAAAGGTGACAGAGAGGCAACTCAGAAACATCCCTGTCACATAAACTTATGTTTTACAGAGAATTTGTCTATTTGGGGGATGAGGGCAAGAGTAATTACAGCATCTGAATGAGGAACTTCAAGTTTCCTGTGTAGTATGGGACAAAAATAGGTTCTTCTAAAGTGTGATTCAGAGGAACTAATTTTAGGTCCCTAAAATAAGGCTGTCTAAATACTCCATGACATGTTTCAAGTTGGATGGGGAGGCGGGTTCAGTGTCACCTACAGCACATACGCTGAATATTGTTCTTTTTCTGCAATGCCTGTTTGGATCTGTGTGTTCTAATGCAAGTGGAACACTTCTGTTCAGCAGAAATAAGAGGCCCTTGTGAAGAGGTTCAGGTGTTATTATGGGCACCCGTGTGATCTTTGAAATGCTATTACATAGACAAAGCTGACCAAATAGGTGCAGCATTGTTAACCTTCAGTTTGCATTCCCAGTGGTTCTGTTTATGAGAGTTAAATCCATCCTCAATTATATCCATTCACAAGATATTGTGTGGCCTCTGCTCTTTTCCAGCTGAACTTAGTGGGTTACTGTGCTTACAATGGACAGTCTTTTGTTTGTACAAGAACAGGACCTCAATTCTCCTTGGTGAAATAAATTAATTTATAGCAAAAGTGGTTTTTCTTCTCCTCTCTCTGGATTTATTCTCTTTTGGTGCCTTATTGCCTAAGATTTGGAAAGCATAATTGTCCCAAATCCACAGCAGAGATTCTGCCTGTGACAGGCTGTTTCCTCTACATGTCTGAAACTCCCAAAGATATCCCTGGAAACTATTGTTCCTGCGGGGAGAAAAGAGACTTGAGCCTCTTTGTAAGAGGTTCTTTCCAAATTACTCACAGCTATTTGAAATAAATATTAATTCCTTGGACATGACAGAAATGCAGCCAACTTTGGGGAAAGAGACATTAGGGTTATTTTTCTGTTCCTCTTGAGCCATTGAGATGGATTTTTCTGTCTCACTCTCTTGCCAAACAGAAAGCAGCCCCAGAGGAGCATGTGATGACAGCGAACTCACAAAGGTCATTCCTAGGGATTCTGCTGTTCTAGGAAATCAGGGAAGCACAGTCGCTTGGCAGCCTGCAGTCACTCACACAGAAACTGCTTATTATGGACTTGGGCATCTCATGCAGCTGAGTTTGCCAGAGAGGATTGTGACACACCTTACCACAAGTGCCTGGGTAGCTGATAATATTTATTGTTTTTAAGTGGCAAATGCATCTGTTGCAGCTCCATCTGCAGTTCTCTGTTATGTCTATTCCATGTCAAGATGAAAAATTGGCAATGTCTATTTAAAAATAAAATAAAAAAATAGGTAAGGTCTGCTTTCCCAACCCAGGGCAAATGAAATAACAACCAAAAAATCTTTGCTCAGGTTTTCAGTCTTGTTTCAAGCAGCATTCAGTACAAATAATTGTGTTTATCATGGCCATAGCTCAAGTAGTTGTTCAGGCTTTAGTTCTGTGGGTGGATTGTGTGTTCACTGTTTGGACATGTGGATCAGAAGTATTTAAATATTTATGAATTCTGGAGGAGAAGCAAGCTGACTTAAATATTCCCTTAAGCAACCAATCCTTTCTCTCCTGCTAAAGAATTATGTATCCTTTGCTCCTGGCTGAGTGGTTTTGTGCATGGAATCTGCACGGGAGACTTTTTGGCACGTTTCTAAAGCAGCAGCTTCTCTCACGGGGTGTTAGGGAGACACTCAGCAGATTAACAAATCCTTGGGAGGATCACATGGAACAAACTCGGAGCTCTCTGGTGTTCATTTGGTCTAACCTGGCACGTTGTTTGTCTATGCCCTGGTAACATGGGGATAATAAGTGTAATTATGTCAGGGGCATGATTATGGTTGTGCTGGGCCTGCTGACTAACACTAGGATTCAAGGAATTGTAAATTGTTTTATTACTGTCCCGGGTATCCCATTAAGAAGAGTTCAAGGTGAAACAATGACTCTAAATTAACACTTCCTTACAACCTTGGGAATGTAACTGTCAGAAAGGCCATTTAGGATAGAAAAATGTTCCAATTAAAGAGCACAGGAGGCCTGGAAATTCAGGGATATCCCAGGGAGAGGAAAAAGTTGCTTTAACCACATTTGTGTTGTGACTTCCGGGCCAAGCCCAGTGGAAAACTGAGCCTTGCTTAGTACAAAGGCAGCACCTGCCCTTCTGCTGGGCAAAGCATTGAGAACTGGGTGAAAGAGCTCAGGGGGTTTAGAAAATTCAAGTGAGAAACAGAATCTGCCTTGAACAAAAAGAGCAGGGAAAAGACAGCATGTAATCTCCAGAGAGGGCTCTGCAGGACAATCCTGTGGGCGTTCACGGTGGCTGCGATACCACTATCTACAACCCCCATGTGTTTTCTTTTTCAGTAACATTGCAATGGATGGATACAGAACCTGATTCATGCTTTCTTGGCTTTGCCAAATGCCTGCTCAAATCCTGTAGCCATGCTCTGAATTAATCTGCTTACCCAAAGGCATTGCTAGAAAAATGGTTGTCCTTGGAGATTCCAGCCCCCTTTGCCTGGGAAAGATAGAGCCATCAGCATCTGGAGTGGTATTAGTAGGAGGCTTGACAGGCTCTGAAATTAGAAGAAATTGGGCCAGAATCACTCTGGTTACCCCTAAATATCCCTATTTTCTCACTAGATTCCCAGACTCCGTGCCTTTTTCTCTCTGCAGCCCCTGCAAACATTTATTTTTTCCAGGAAAGCTTTCAGTTTCTTTCAGACTGGCCTCAGTCTCTGCTGCGGAAATGTGCAAGAACATTTTCCTGTGACAAGACTAAAACTCAGAACTAAAGATTAAGAACTGGGCGTGCGTACAATCTTACTTCCCCCCTTCATACTCTCCATTTTCTTAGTTCACAGCCAGACATTCTGAGTCACAAGCTATTTAGTTCTGTTTAATAGTGCTAAATGAGTTTTTCATCCCCTCATTATGTTCTGGCACCATGTTCTGCAGCAGTAATTTCTGATTCATGCACAGTGTGAAAATTTGTTCCCTTTTGACTGTTGTTAACTTTTTATCTGGGAATTTTTTTAGTGCCCTGAGTTCTTCGGTGTGAGAAATAACAAGGCCTCTTTGCCATCTATGATTATACAGACCTATGTGGCCTACAAAAATCATGCTGATTCTTCCTGTTTTATCAGAACCACTAAAGTTTCTGCTAGGTTGGATGGGGAAGCTGCCACCAAGTTATAAAGCTGAATGAAAGTTTGGGACTGACAGAATTCCTCCTTTCAAAGGCAAGAGAGCATCTTTCTTCGCTCAGATGCTGACTCACTAAATCTGTCACAAGTAAATGTCTTTGAATCATACTTTTGATGAGAGCTGGCCACATGTTCACACTTGGAGAATGAAATCCAGAAGTTATCCAATTCCAAGCAGTGAAGCAGTAATCAATTCATTGAGACTTTCTCTGATGGCACAGGGTGCACTAATACAGGGCAAGATTCTGAAATCCTCACTATTTTCTCTTTGTTGCTTTTGAGAAGAAATAAAGGTCTAATGCAATTAAGAATCAAATAGTTTCCCAGAGCTGCAAAATGTAACGCTGTCATCCCACCTCCCTGAGAAACCATTCCTTTAGCAGCCCACGCTCTTTTGTGTGTTCTTAGATCTTCTGTAGAGCCCTGAATCCTCCCTAAATTTGACAGCATTGTTCTGGCAGCCGTGGGAAGGGTGATGCTTAAAATTTCCTATGTTTCAATGGGAATAAAAGCTCACTGCCTTAAATGACCACATCTCCTCCTCCTCAGCATGTGCAAGAGGAGAAAACATAACAGTAGAATCTCAATGTTTTCCTCAAATGTTGATGAGTTTCCTGTGAATGGATATTTCATAAATCAAACGTTGGATCAATCTGCTTTCCTATCAAAACAATTTAAATGTAGGCGTTATAGTAGGAGGGTTTGTGTTTGGATTTAGTCATCAAGCCAAGACTGACTTGAGCCTTCATGCCAGCAGAGGACTGACAGACTTAACCCCAAATTCCACTCAATTCCTGTGCTTTGGTACTGAATAGTTTAACTTTGCCCATCACAGTTTTGTTTGAGGTGTTTGGGTTTTTTTTGCCATAGGACATATCAGTTCATATGCTCATGTTTTAATTCCTGACATTTTGTAGTTTAAAAGAGCTTTGCAGTGATGATGCAAGTTCCCAAGGCTGATTTCCTCATATCAAGTATTTATATTTACCCAGTGTTTTAGTTCCTTATTATCATTTCAGATTAAAACTTCACTACTACCAAGCAGGAATGATTTACCTGACAATTCTTTTTTTTTTTTTTTAAATATATCAGTGAAAATACTTTTAAAAGCTTAATTTAGACTGAAAAATTTTGAGCTTTGTTTTCATGTGGTTTTATTTATTGGTAGAGGTTTATTGCCCAACTTAAAAAATAAAAGCTCCTTTCAGAGAAACAGTTGACAGGTCTTTATGCCCTACAGAATCAGGCTATGACAAAAGAAATGAAACAAAAAAATAACACAAAATCTAAACAATATAAGTCTAGCTAGAGGAAAAACACAGGCTCACGATTTTGTATGCATCACTTGCGTTACCTTATGTAAGCAGTCCGGGATTTTGGAACACGAGGGACAAATTTAGGTCCCATCCACACAAAGTTTGGCTGCACTCCTGCAATCCGATCTGTGTGGGTGTGACTCGTACCCTGCACAACACTCCCCTTGCACAGGGGCTGCTGCACAGGTGGGGGGTTCTTCCCACACGGATCACGTCCCCACATTTGGATCCTGAAGTATAAATGGATCAGGAGACAAGTGTTGTAACCAGGTCACCTCCCTGTGCTATGGGCACACTGCAGACTCATCTATAATGTCATTAGTCACTCAACCACATGAGTAAAGCTCTCAAAGAATCCCCCTTTGTGCCTGTCTTGCCCTTTAGACTTCCAAATCTAATCTGTAAAAAGAAGAAAGTTCCTGATAGCCAGTAAAGAGGAAAAACTGGGAGATTAAGGCCTCCAAAAAGTTTCAGTATATTTAGATATTATGTAAATAAGGACTGCAAAAAAGACCACCCTGAACAAGCTCATACAGCTTTGAAGTAGAGGTAGAAATCCCATTAAGTTTCATTCAGAAATGAGGAGGAAATGCAATTTAGGAGAAGAAAACATTATATGTGAATAAGGAAAAGAGGAAGACTAATGAAAAAGGTTAGAAGTTTATCATTTTGCCTGAAGAAGAAAACATAAAGGAACAGCAGTGCATTATCTTCAAGGACAGAAAAATAAAATCTGATGTGCATTACCATTTAGAGAAAATAAGGGGGGGAAATGCTGGAAAGGTCAAACTAAGCTTACATGGCTTCTAGCCTTCTTCCCTGATATTCCATGCTCCCTAGGTAACAGCAATAAACTGGCAACAGAAGTGGTATCTTTATTAATTATTTATCTGGAGGCTTTGGTGTCTTTTGGGAAACACTCATCAAAATCACCTGGGGACAGTTTGCAAGTGAATCAGGTCTAGAGTTTGGCTTCAGAGCTGCACAGCTAAAGATAATCAAGAAACTTTTATGGTAAGAAGTAATAGGAGAGAGAAACGCAATCACAGCAGGTCTGAGGAGGAGCCAGGTTACCTAAAAAAGGTGTAGAAAAATAGCAGTGTAGTTACAAAGTGAAGGATGAATCAAGACAGCAAGGTGGGAGGTTATGTGCCTGGTGGGGTATCCATGTGAATGCCAAAGGCAGTCATTTTGGGAAACATCAAGTGTGTGCCGTGGTGCAAGGTGACAGCCACACACAGAGATAGCAGGAGTAGTGAGTAATGAGAGAAAGCTGCTTCTCCAGCTATTCTATGCCAGACATGAACAAACAGCATAAATAACTTCCAAACGACCAACTCAAAAGCTTAGTAACTGAGATGGTTTCATCGGATTGCTTTTTATTGGTAGTGGCCAGAGTCAAGGGCACCGATAGGTCTGACCCTCCCAACCAGCCTCACCTGGGACCCACCCACACCCCCTCTGCTCTTGGAGCAGCAGCTCTACTTAAGCTGGGGGCTGTGAAAAGCCCTTAACTTATGGGTGTGTTCAGTCCTGGTTTTATCTCTGTGCTGTAGCTGTGGTTCCAGCCCAGCTTCCTGCTCCTGGAGGGACTCTGCTGGCAGCCCTGCCTCTGCCCGCCCAGGTCCTGTGGGACTGGTGTCACTGATGTGCCAAGGTTGCTCCTTGCAAAACCACGTCTGTGGTGTTCAGCTGCAAGGGCACTATTGTTGGGTTTTGGTGTTTTCTAGTAATGATAATTTTTACTATAACTCTTTTTTGTGCCATGGCTAAAAAGCAGTGTTGTTGGAAAGTTTTACTGTGCTTGGAGTGAATATTGGGAGCTTTTAAAGGCTTTGTGCCCAGAGGAGGGGCAGAGGGCCTGGTGGTGAAATGGGTTATTGTAATTTTCACAACTGGCTGTAGCTTTGGGAAGTGCAGCCAACTGGTTCAACTTAGGCTGATACCACCACCCTGGACTAAACAGCTGGAAGTGGGAGGGAAATTCAGAACTCCATGCAGGCTGCCTGCATTTCTTAGTAGCATGTGCTAAAGCTCTCTTGCTAATTAGTGTGTTCAAATAACCTTTGTTTTTTAATATTGATAACTTATGCAGCAAAACATTAAATGTTTCACAGTATCATCTTCTGGAGTTTTCTGCTACTTCTCATGAAATCAGGAGAAAGTTGGACTTGTCTAAGGAATGATGGGTAAGATGTTATAACAAATGAAGTGTTAAAGACTGTAGCAATAAAAAAATGTTGTTGCCAGTGCTGGAATCTGGAGGTAGCAAAGTGTCATCAGTACCAGGAGAAGCTCTGCTTTTAAGGCTTGTGTGGCTTTCTAGTGCAATAAGCTGCTACTATAAGTAACTTTTTTTACTGGTCTTGCTCTTCACTGCTGCCAGATGGCAGCAAATTACCAAAGATTATCTGTGTTCTGCTTCTCTTTCTGTGTTCTTCTCCTCTTTCTAAACAAAATGGTGCTGCTTTCACATTAGGAAAATGTATGATCTCTGTGAAAGGTAAAGATTTGATTTAACATACTATATAGGTAAAGCAAATGAAGTTTTGTCTATTATGTTCATATTCCCTGTCATACTGGAAGCTTTTTGTTTCTATGTGAATATTTGTGTTCTGTGCTGGATTGAGTGGTTATTTCTCTAGTTGTGTGCCTAGGAAAAGTAATTTTTATCTTTTTCTAGGCCTTTATTTTGAACCTCCCTCTAGTCTTAAGATCCAAACCTGTGAACAACTCAGGTTATGCTGCATTACTGTAGAACACAAAGTGCGTGTGGATGGAAATTGCTAAGTGGAGAGAGCGAATAAAATTATTTTGATTTTTATCATAAAGTTGCTGTTGACTTACTCTTGGCGAGTGAGAACACTCAGAGTTCATCTTCTAAGGTAGGATAAACGCTGTTCCTAATGTAGAATTCGGCCTGAAAAGTTGGTTAAAATAAACCAACAAACTACCACAGACGTGGTTGGGGGGAAGTTAAACCTCAAGATGACATAGAACACACCAGAGAAAAACCTTTGTGGTGTGTTCTTGGAGACTCAACATAGTAAATAATCAATTGTTGACTTGTTTTTGTGTATGTAGTACATAGACAAAAGGAATGTCATGATGACAGTTTTGGAAAGGAATGTCATGATGACAATTTTGGAAAATGTTATAGACAGTTTTCTAATGAGAACGTAAGCACTACTAGATACCACTGAAGTTTGGGTGAACAGTTTGTATGCAATGAACTTTCTTTCTCTGGGGTCTGCTGTTCTAGCTGAGGAGTCTGGCATTTGCCCCAGCACAGGGGGGAGAAATAGGCTGTTAAAACTGGGGAAGGTTTTTTAAGTCATGTGGAGATTGAAGATGATCACTCAGCCTCATTCAGGGTGGGATGCCCAAGATAAATTCGAGGGTTTTTTCTTATGCTTCATTTTTCAACTACCTCATTTTCCACCTTATCAGGCAAAATTTTCTCAGTTCAGCAATGTATGGAACATACTTTGTTTTCAATGATTCCTGTAAATGCCTGGGAAAGACTAATGCTGCTCACTTGTGCCACAGATGCTGGAGACTCCAGGTGTGTATGTAGCAGCACTAGTCCTGGAGAGGTGCTGTTCGGACACTAGTCTCTGAACATATTTCTAATCTGAAATAGAGAAGGGAATGACACCTTGTGAGGGATCTGTAGGACCGCCCCTCAGGGATGCGGGGCCGCGTCCCTCACAGCGGGGACATTTTCCCGCCCTCGGGATCATGAGGCGTTTCCCGCCCTTGGGGCTGGGCTGTCTCCCCTCACGGCAGGAACGTTTTCCCGCCCTCGAGATCATGAGGCGTTTCCCGCCCTTGGGGCTGGGCGCTCCTCCCTCACGGCAAGAACGCTTTCCTGCTCTCGGGGCCGGGCGCTCTCCCTTCACGGAAGAAGAGATGTTTTCCCTTACAGGAAGAGCTGTGTCACCCCTCACTGTTAGGTGTGCTTCCCTTCACAGGAGGAGCAGCGTTTCGGCCCGCTGCTGTCGAGTTTTCTCCCTTAAGGCTGTGTTCGGGCGCCGCGGCCCGCCCCATCCACACGTGAGGCGGCCGCTTACGCGGTAAGCTTGAGCCTCTCGCGCTCCCGTCTGGGCGCCGCTGGTACGCGGAGCACCGGCGGCCGCTACAGCGGCTCTTCCTCCGCTGTTGCCATGTCCGCCCTGGCCAAAGCCTCCGGCGCCCTCAAGTCCGTGGATTACGAAGTGTTCGGGCGGGTGCAAGGTAATGGCAGGCTGAGGGGAGCTGACGGGCGAGGGGCGCCGCGCTGAGGCGGCGGCAGCACCGCGCGTGCGCGGGGCGGGAGCGGCCTGAGGGGAGGCGGGAGCCGCGGGCGCATTCCCAGTGGGACGGGAAAGTTTTTTTGATTTTGGTGGTTTTTTCTTTATTTATTTTTTTTAGTTTTAAATCGTTGTAAATATTCTTCCGCCTTAAGGCTCGGCTCGTAGCTCCCATTCCGCGCACTTGCTCTAGTGGCTTCTGTCAGCCCGAGTATGTGGAAATGCTCCTCCCGTCCTTCCCATTCACCCACTGCAGCGTTTTCATTATCATTTAAATACGTGAATGACAATAATCGTGTGACGAAGGGAAGGCTCAAACACAAGTTCTGTTCGGTTTCCTTAATATTAACGTCATTGAAATCTCCAGGGTAAAACACTATGGGTGATTTGTAGGCACGTCATTGCTTCTTTATATTAACTGAAGTTCCTACAAGTGATATGCTTTCACAGGACTCTAATTTTATTTTTTTATTTTTTTTTAGGCGTTTGCTTCAGGATGGTAAGGAAATGCTGGATTGGCTGGGTACTTTATGGTATAATATTTCCAGTGCTAAAAATAAGGCAGCTGTAGAGTGTTAACATATCCAGCCTGAACTTTGGTTGGATGGTTAAGTACTGTGAGTAGACTTGAAATTTTACGTTAAAATGGATTTTTAGAAACTTAGTAAAGTGTTGCTTGTGTAGATTGTGGTTTGGATTACTTGTGATGTAACAACCACAAGAATGTTGTAACACCTTGACCTTTAGAAAGGTTAAATCTGAAACAAGGCATTTCAGTTTAATTTTTCAAATGGCAACACAGTACCTGTATTTAAGGAAGGTTACTGAGGAAAAATTTGGGAAAAAACATGCTGCAAATAAGCACTTTGTGGCTCGTACCCTAAGCAAGTGACTCCAGCAGCTCTGAAGTGCAGCAGGTGGTTTTGCATTTCACAGAAACCTATGAAACAGGAGGACACAATTGAAGGAAGAATAAATAGTGTTTTTGTCTCAAACTAGTGTCCCATGCTTTAATATTAAACCTGAGAGATTTTATCTATAGTTTATATGTATTGTAAAATAGTGCCAAGTGGAAATGAACAGAGGACTGCAGTGGAGTTTGCCTTGAATTTAATTATTCTTTGAAGAAGAAAGGGTAAGTCCAAGCATGCTGTGCCTTGTTCTGAGCTGACCCAGAGACATGTGAACACGCAGCTCAGTGCCAGTCCTGAGCTGCTCTCCAGTACTGAGGAGAAGGTTTGCAGCTGCATTCCTGTTCTTTTGGGCAAATTAATTTGGAGAAGCTGCTCATAATCACCTTGGAAAACACTCTTCATAGTTAGCACCACTTTTTAATTTGATAATTTACCCCAAAGCACGTTTTGTCTTTTGGAATGGGTCATAGAGACCTGACAGTTTGGCTCGTGCTGTTTGTGAATTTCATCACAACTGGGTGCCTGGGAAACTATAATTTTTTCGTATTGCAGAAATATCCTTTTTTTTTTTTCTAGTAATTAGATTGACTTTTGCTGTTTGTCAGTAGAAATGCAGCAGCTGCAGGGTGGAATTGAAAGGGTGAAAAGTCAGGTGGAAAGCATTTGAAAGGGAACTGGGATGTTTGTCCATGTAGCAGATTTAATGAGTTTGAAAACTGTAGTGATTGAAGGGTCAAATGAGCAGCGATAGGAGCTATGGAAAGGAATAAAGCAAGTACAAGGGAATGGTGTGGGATTAGTGGAGTCCTTTGTGATCAAAATCTTGTTCTTTTTGGAAAATGAGCTGTGCCTGCTGCAACTCCAGAGCTGCCAGGAACATCTGAATGCCTGAGGATGAGCATCACTCATCGATTTTAAGTCTAGCTCTTTCAGCTGGGCAAATGCAAATGGGGGGTTAAGTGTTCTCTCTGTGGTGTCTGAGCTGGCACTGATTGTCCTCTCTCATTATTTCCCAAATCAGTACACAGAGCAGGAAGCCAAGAAATTAGGAGTGGTTGGCTGGGTTAAAAATACCAGCCAAGGAACCGTGACAGGCCAAGTTCAGGGCCCAGAAGAGAAAGTGAATGAAATGTAAGTATTTCTGTGTTCAGTTTTTTTCTCTTGCACTCATTAAAGTCACTTACAAAAGTGTTTTTAATACAAAGTGACAAGCAGATCCATGTGTCAGTAATGTAACAGTGTTCTCATTCAGTGTTGGAGGTAAGGAGGAGCATTCTTTAAGTTGTGAACAAGTCTTCAAGCTTGAAAAATACTGTGTTTTCATTTCTAGTGTCACACAGTTTGTTGATGTATTTCCTTAACATCCTCATTTCTTGTGACATGAAAAGAGAGCCTTTATTCATTTGACTAGAGGTCTGCTTTTTAATTCATCAGAATTCCTCTTGTTAAAAAAGATTGAAGAACTTCTTGAAATGTTTTCTCATTCTGTGCTTAAAAAAGCAGTTTTAACGAAACTGAGTTTAAATATGAATTTTTTCTGACTTAAAAAGAAACCCCTAATATATAAATACACATTTTGGTGAAGACCCACAGTCTCTGCCATTTGGAAATAAATTTTGAGGTATTTTGGTGTCTTTTAAAGAATAGGTAATAATTTTCATTATGAAATTGCCAGTTTCCAGGAGCTTAAAGCTATCACTGAGGAAATGATGCCTGGAAAAGCACAAAGCCCAATTGAGTTGCTTCCAACTATAATTTTTTTGCAAGTGTATAGAGGGAGATTGTTGGGAACTTAAAAAAATTCTTCAGGGGTTTGTTGTCTCAACAAAAAATGAGGGAGGGCAGAACTTTCCCTTTCTAGATGGGAAATTAGCAGTGCACATTCTGCTAACACTTTCCCATGCAGGAGTTGCTTCAAAACTGAACTTGGATGAAGAGAAGTTGTCTTTGTGCACAGAAAAGTGTTGCCCATTCTAGTCAGCAGATTTATATGATTTCCAGTCACTTTCCTTGGTTTTGTGCTAAATGTGAGGTTGTGTATCTTGGGCGGAAAAACATTTACAAAGCCAGAGAAAGATCAGGTTTTTTCTTATATCAAGTTTACACTTACTTTTTGAAAGAGTTCTGTTAATATCCAGATCTCTTCATGTTTTGTGAATTTCTGTGTTGGTGCCACGTTTTTATTTAACTTGGAACACAAAACTGACTGTGTGAGAAACCAGAGTTTGTTTTCTATTTATTGTCCTACTTTTTCATTTAAAAACACAGATCCAGAAGAAATAAAGAGTTGTTTTCAGTTGCTGCTTCTTTTTTTCATTTTGGAAATCAGTGTGTTCCTCTGATGTGGGAATAATGTGGCAATGCTCAAGTCAAAGCGTGGTTTTGATGCATGGATTACTAAACTTGAGGTCCTGGAGTAAAATTCTGAAATATGAAGACTTTTCCTTGCGCCCTCTGTGCCTTTTCCAATTTATGGAAAAGGCAGTGAGTTTATTTTTGTCATTAACCGGTGAAGTTGCATGGAAAAAGGGACCTCTTGTGTGTGAACTACTCCTTTGAAAGACCCTTATTTCTCTCTGCAGGGACTAGAGAAAAACAGATCAAAGTAGTTTTGAGGTTCTGAAAGGTTTTTTTCAGCATTTTTTAATAATGGTATGAATTCATAATATTGTGTTCTCAGATGCAAATGTTACTTAAAATGCTATATCAAAGAAACAGAACAACAAAATGAGGCTTGCTGCTGCTGTGGGAAATTGATACAAACCTACAACCATAAACGTGTATTTGTATTCCAAATGTGATAAATCACCAGGAAAAAATTCCATCACCAGCTGCCTATGCATGTTCTGGTTGGTGTTTTAGCTTTTCAGGACTTATAGACACTGTGGTGACACTTGTTAAAAATTTGTAGCTCCTGCATGCTTGAGGAAACTGAAGACTTTGCAGAGGAGGGAAGTGCATGAGTCAATAGTCAGATATTTCAAGAAAGCTTCCTGGAGATGCTTTGTTACCCTGGAGGTCTGGGCAGTGTCATTTAGACCAATATTTTCACACTTGCCCCAGCTTTTCAATTAAACATGAAGCACAGAACAGCTTAAAAATCACATGGTGATGGTAATAAAATCTGTCAGTTGTTGTTCTGGGTTTTTAATGTTAATGTACTTTAGGGGGAAGCAGTAAAGGGTTTTGGTCAGTCCTAAACAATATTTATCTTTTTGTGATGCTAAACAGAATCAAGAACATGGACGAAAAAGAGTAGGGATGCCATTGGAAAGTGCAGGTGTCCTACAGGTAAATAGGCAAAGCAATATAAGAGGGAGAAAGAGAGGAATCAAGTATTGAGAGGATGATAAAGGTAGGTAAAGTGTAAAAAATGTGGGAAAAAGCCAATGAGGCTCTCCAGTGTTGCCAGAAGCATGGAGTGGCTAACAAAGCTTGCCTTTGTTCTGGATCAGGAATGCAGCAGACCTCTAACCCAATGGTTTTTCAGCAGCTCCCCATTCCCCATTTTCTGCCCCTTTTTATTTTGTTTTTGTATCAATAATTATGTTGGGAGGCACAGCCACATTGAATCCAGTGCAGGCTTGACATCAATTAGCAATGGCTGTATATAATTTTTTTTGTGCAGGTTGCAAGGTAAGATGTAACTTAGGAGGAACAAGAGAATGGACAGATCTAAAATGGTTGTGCAGAGTTACTTTGAGAGGTGCCATGTAAAATAAGTTGGCTCTGGAGCAAACAGCTGAGCAGGGGCCTCCTGGCTCTGCCCAAGTCAGTGTTAAATTTTAAATAAGTGTGAACAACTGGGGCTGGGAAGTGCTGCATGTGCAGGAGGTTGAATGCCTGTTTGGAGCATTCATTCAGTGTTGAACATGGGTACGAATTTCTTTGGAAGTGCTGGAAGGCTGATTCCTTGATATTCTGGGGTGCTAAAACCTTGATCCCACTGAAAACTGGCAAAAGGTACCAACCTCACCAAGCCTCAGATTGCACTGGGAATGTCACTGAGCTGCAGGAAACCCAAGGGATAGATGAGTACTTTTAGATATTTTCCTTTCAATTTTGCATTCAGTTTGGTTTTAATGAAAACCTTTTAGGTTCTCAAGGATCAGGTGACTTTTATGTAAAGTATTTTAAGGCAAATTTTTAAATTGGGAGATCTTGGAGAATGTTTTAGAGGGTGTTTTTCAGAAGTCTTGAGAACCTTTTACCTGTCAGCTTGCTTTGGTATCCCTTGGTTTTTAACTCTAGATGGAGCTGTTAGTTCTGAAGATCCTCAACCATCCTCTGTTTGCAGGGAATCTATTTTTAGACTGTTGTGGTAGAATCCATCTTTTTCCTTGCTGTATTTTATAGTCCTGTTCCATTTGCTGCTGCACACAGATCACACCCCTTATCCTTAGATTAAAAAAGCTTGTTTTCAGAGAGTTTTACCTGTCAAGTCCCAAGAGAAGCAGAGCTGCACCATTTCTATAACATGACAAGGTTTTGTGTTAAAGTGGAGGTGTTTATTTGCCCTCCAAGGTATGAGCTGATGACAAAAAATGGGGTAGAGGAGTGTAGTCCTTTGTTTTATTTAATTTTTTTCCCAGGAATACTCACAGCCCAGGGTCTTTCATTATAATATCTTGTGCTGTCTCTTCCACTTTACCCATTAAATAAGGTTGGAGCCTGCGTGGTCATGGTGGCTGTTGCCATAGCAACCTGCACTGACAGGCTGGAACTTCCTTTCCTGGGAGAATTTTTTGAACTTTGATGACAAATTAATTGGTTATCCATTAAAAAGAGAAGAGTCTTTGTAGAGTGCCAAATCCAGAATTTACTCCAAAAATCCAAGGTTTCAAATCAGACTGACACTTGAAAATGTGAAATCTTAGGATATTTTCTAGGCACAAGCAAATAGCACAGTGCGTGTTCTTGCTGTCTCTAGAGAAAGGCAGAGTTCTAAATATAGAAGACGTGTCTTGGAAATGGGTTTTAATTAGGAAACTAATGCTAATTTCTTTTTAATGTTGTATTTCTTATTACCAATGTCAGTTAAGAAGAATTAATATTAATTAGGATTTAACTGGCACAATACTTAAATTACTTTAGTGTGTAAATGCATAGAAAAATCTAGATTTTTATCATGTAGAAGAGGAAAAGGAAACTGTATTAGTTATTATCATGTGGCATTGTTTCAGTCATCAGGTGTAGCCAAGGTTCCTGTCTGTACCAAGTGATGTTGAATAAATACTTTTCCCCAATATAATTTTTAATTGTTTAAATAATAATATTAATTTATTAATAATAATTTTATTGCAGATAATGGTCCTTAAATGGAGCTAAATGCTACTAAAAATATCTGTGGGGGAAAAAAATTCTAGGTTTTAATACCTAATTGATGTTTAGCTATAAAAGGAACAGATTTTTAGATTTTCTCCATTTTAGAAGAGTATTTTTACTTTCCAAAAAAATCAAACTAGAAGTGTTGTTTAGAAGAATCCTTAACATTGATCTGCACGTGAACTTGTCAGTGAGGCAGAGATGTGCCCCAGCAAGATGGTTGAATTATTCCTCGGATGTGCTGTTCCTGGGAAAATGACAGTGACAGATTTTGGAGAAAAGGGCAGAGGGAAATGAAAATCACATTCTTTAATATTTATTTAATTTTGTTAAAATGCAAATGAGTAAAAGGTGTTAGATTTGTTCTCATTTATGATGGTAATGAAGAACAGTTTTTACATTAATCACTGCTGAAGGTGATTTAGTGTTTCAGTGAATCAATAGCAAATTACAGAAAAATATGGGGATCTTGTAATTCAGTGTGGCTCCAAATATAATAAGATTAGTTTTTCAGTGTTTGATTATATTTTTTTTAAAGTTAAGACTAATGTATGCTGCAAAACTAGATTAGGCTAAAACTTTTGTAGGTAATAAAATGGTAAATGTGATTGTCTCTTTTCATATTGAATGTTTGAAGTATTAAGTTCTTCTCTATAATTATTGCTTAAATTTGACAGTCTAAATTGTGAATTATTGTAGTCATTGATCCTGTAAATGAAATTTAGTGAACTGTTACTGATGATGGCCTGGGAGAAACAGGAGTAAACATTATTCTTTGGATTTTTTAGCCACATAAAATTAGATGA